TAAGGGGGTCTGAATATTTTCCTTACCCACTGTAAATCCCCGACTGTGAAATTGTGGCTCCAAAACGTGTCATTCGTGGCCAGGTTGTGGAGTAATTTTGTCCCAGCAGACAGTTGCGCTCCTACAAAGGCTAAAATCCTCGTCCAGTACACGTTGTCTTCAATGGGAACGGTGGCAGTGCTGTGTGTCACAAATTTTTCAAACGTGCAACCTGACGTGCACCTCTCCTCAACAGGTAAAAGTGCACGTCGCTGCGGACGCAGACCGCAACGACTGTAATCAGGTTTTTTTTTCTTCTTTTCTTTTATTAAGTCAAACCAAACAGACAAGCAATTACAAAGTCTAATACAAATATTGAACAGTACAAAGACTGAGCAAGTTCAAAATTAACTAACATTATCCCAATAGAACGGAAAGCCAAACAAACAGGGAAGGCAAACGACAAAAAAAACTATTCAACACATTCATTTACATTTTCTGGGGTTGTGGAAAGAAGATTAACTAAAATTTGATATAATTCCTGTGACAGTTTATACTTCAATGAATCACACAGAATAGAAAGCTCTTTCATAAAAACTGAGAGATGTGGGGTCAAATTCCTAAATTAGCATTTATGTATATAATATTTTGCCATAATTATCAAATTGTTTAACATAAATTCCATTCTTGAGTCCTTTAAAATTATACCAAATTGAATATTTTCATAGTTTAATTGAGATAGAGACAGATTATCCTTTAAACACCACTGACAAAATGCTTTCCAAAATGAAGAAGACACACTACAGCTGAAGAAAAGATGTTCCTGCGATTCCATGTCATTTTCACAAAATGTACATACATTTGTGTCAAGCCCAAATTTAAGGTACAACAATTCTTTACATGGATAGATTTCATTCATTGTTTTAAAATGCACCTCTTTAGCTTTAGGTGAAATTGGGAACTTCAAGAAATTACATCTTATTTTCTTTGCATCAGAGGAAGCATTCAGATATCTTTCTAGCAAATACCTTCTTTTCAGAGATGAAGGAAAACATGCTTTAGTAAGTGTGGATCTTAAAAATTGGTTTTTACTGCATTTGTCAGATAGAAAAGTACAGTCTTGTACTAATAAAGGGTGTAAGCGAGGTATCATCCTTTGATAATATAGTGAACCTTTAATATTTATGAGAATAGCTCGTGGTATGGCTTTTATCACATATTTATCCTGAGTACAGTTTAAATTATACTTGTTGAATCCTATTAGGTCCAGAATATCGCCTCTGTCGTCTATTAGATGTCGAATTGACCAAATTCCTTGGTCCGCCCACTCCTTCCAGTAAAAGGACTTTGTCTTTATCAATCGATTGTTCCAGATTGGCGTATAATGTGGGGAGAAATTGTGCTTGAAAATTAATTTCCAATAAAGCAGAACCTGTTGATGGAATTTAGACAATTTTACGGGCAATTTATTAATTTCAAAGTCACATTTCAGTAAAAATTCCACACCACCAAAGCTCGAAAATATACATCTGGGGAGACTGAACCAAATATTATCAACCTGACGACTGTAATCAGTTGCATCGCATTTCCTCGTTCGCTTCTCTCGGCGGCTTGTGACGGTGGTGGTGAGGGGAGGGGCGAGCCGGAGCACCACCGAGGAAGACAAGACCTCATCTAACGGGGAGTTTAATTTAAAACCAACCGGGTTTACATGTGACAGCGTTTTGTGAGCACCTTGAATTTACCTGAGGAAAGGTCAGTCACAAAACCGCAACTGTACAATCTGATAAGGACCAAACAAGACAGTGGCTGCTTCCCCGAATACCTGTAACCTGGACAGGTAAGCTTGTTATAACAGCTGCGCATGTTATGGGGACATGGGCGAGCTGGTTATCTAGACCAGGCTCGTCGACATTCTGTGCGACCGGGTTAACTGCGCGTAAACCTGCGATATGGGATATGTAGTATTTAAATACCACATCTGGTGTGGATTACTGTATCATGGTTGTAGGTCACTGAAGTTACTACATATAGATGCAGCTTACGTTCTTAAACGCACATTCCAAAGAATATTATTTACAACATATGTAATAACATTTTTAAATATTATTTTTGTAATGCTTCTTGTGTTCGGCACACTTTGGTTGCACTGCATGCTAGATAAATCAAGCAGTGGAAGATGAAAAAAAAAAGTTTTCATTTCTCATCATGGACAGAAAACGCAAAGAAAAGGGTGACTTTGAGAAAATAAGACAGAGAAGCTCTAAGCACTGGAGAGTGATGACTCCCAGGGCAGAAAATGAACAAACTTATAGGGTGGCAGTGAGGCCAGCAGCAGCAGTAGAGGGGCCCCGGAGAGACGGGCAGCTGAGGGACACAGGGATGAGACGGAGGAGGAAAGTGAGGACCAGAGCCAGCCTGTCCACAAATTAAAAGCTGTCATGTGCTAAATTATTATTAATAATATAGAAAATTGCAAGATATTATATATGAAGCCTTACTATGAAGAAATCTTTACTTTTAAAATTAGGTTATTGAGCTGTGGATGCAGTGTATTCATATGCCCATTATGGTTATGTTGGTTCTGCTCTGAGTCAAACTCCAGGGCTGTTTTCAAGTCCCAGTCAATCCCTGTATGGAGATATATTTTTGAGTCAGTTATCTAAACCTTTCAGTGTGGACTTGTTCAGATATCGGAACTATTCTTCAGAAAAACTATACTGTGATACTAAAACAATTCAGTTGCATTATGTAAATTTTATATTTACATCTAATTTGAATTATTCTACATACTAACTGTAGTGATTCTTTAAGCTCACAAAGCAACATACTGCAGCGTCAGACCTTTTTTGTGCAGTTGTTGGAATACAGTAACATCTTACACGTTGCCCAAAGCGATTATGCGAGATCATGGCTCCACTGAAATGAATGCAGTCTGTCAGAATAAGAAACAAAAGCATGACTGTGGAGATAAAAGGACAAAAAAATACCACAGACACTGAAAGCTCTGCTGTTTCTGTGCAGAATAACTGGTTTAGGCCTTTAACCATGTTCCTCTGACCACTTGGATCCATCTGAAATGATTTCTGAAAACTCAAAGAAGTCAAACCTATATGATATCAGATGTCTCAAAGTAATAGTACAGTAGGTCATTGTTGTAAGCACATGATGGTTAAGTAACCTTGTGCAGATGAATTCTTCAGTACAGTATAACTACCTCTTTAAGTCAGACAGATGCTGCCTGCAGTAAAAACCTGCATTCTGACTGGATTATAGAGAGCACAGTAGCACAAAGAATGGAAAGTCATTTTCAGTGATTTGCTTTAATATCCATGAACATGAAAAAAGTCAATCAGTGCCATTACTATGTATAACCATGTCCTCTAGCCTTAACCTCAGTTTCACGTGGAGTAACAAATGTTAAATTGTAACATATCTATGAATTATTGATGTAAAGACACCAGATGCTTGACTTCAAACCTTTCCATATGACTGCATATTGCAAGAATAAGCGATGATTTCTTGGTCAAAATGGAGTTTATCTGCTGTTAAATAAGATAATCAGAGCTCATGAAATTCTCTGGCACGAGCAGACGGGCAGTTTCTTCTTCACATGGGACTTAAAAAGGCACATGTCGTCTTATGCCCATCAGTCCATGCAAATCTTTCCCCGTGAGAGGCACGTAGTGGTTGTGACAGGAATGCAAAGTTGGGAGGCCAGTGGTTCTTGAATAAGGACTTACTGTGATGTGTCTAGTTAATGATCCACTGAACGAATGTCTTCAGGATGAACATAAAGCTCAAAGTTTGAAACATGGTTTCAAACTCACAGAAAAATGTCATTTTTACTTAACAAATCTGGTGGCTTAGGCTTGAACTGAGGCAGTCAACCAGGTTCTGTTACTCTTCTGTCTCTTGCATTAAAGAATATGACTCATGCAGTACTTGGAGAAAATAAGAAGAAGATGAAGGTGGTAGATTAACCAAAATAAACATGACCAGATATATGGTAAACGGCTTGTGCAGAAAGTCACAATAAAAATAGTTTTGTCCACTGTCTACTGTGCTGAACACTAGCAACATAGCTCTCTGTTTAATAAATACAGTATTTTCTCTCAGTGGGAGTCAGAGGCTGCTGTTATCATTATGACCAGATCTGCTTTGATCAAAATCTGGCTTGACCAGGATGACACCCTTTGTCACCTCAGATTTATTAAGAATCAGAACAGAACAAAATTAAGAATGCTGAGTGATTTCTTTGTTCATTTACAAACAATGCATGCCCTTAAATAGTTCCACTTACATGAAACCACAATTCTGACAATATTTACACTGTTGACTGTTGTGAAGGTTTAATATTAATGAAGAAAAAATGTACTGTAGATTTTTTAGTTGAAAGAGGATTTAGGCATTTGACAACAACAATAAAGAAAGAAAGAGCAAACAAATCCATAAATGGGCTGACATGTCAGCCCTGTCTGGAGCTTTCAGCTGCAACTCTATGTTATCTTCTGTGTATGAAGGACAGACAGGAGACCATGGTACCCTCTCACAGGCACAACATGTCTTCATTCCAACACTGTCATATAAATAAACTTCATTCTCTTTGGAGATGCTGTTGAAAGCTCAGAAAAAAGCCAGTAGGTGAACATTTAGTTAAAGGAGTGGTTTCACAGTCTGTGAAACAAACTTATTTGGTTTGTTGCCAAGTTAGATGAAAAGACTGACACCACTCTCCTGTTTGTGCATAAAGTATGAGACTGGACCTAAAAGACAGCTTAGCTTACAGGTAGGATGACAAATGGAAACAAGGGGAAACAGCTGGCCTGGCTTTGTCCATCCATCCATTATCTATTCACCTTATTCTGAAGATCGTCACAGGGGGCTGGAGCCAGCCTCAATTGACATTGGGTGAGAGGCGGGGTACACCCTGGACAGGTTGGCCTGGCTTTGTCCAAAGGAAAAACAATGGCTACCAACACCACTGAAGCTCACAAATAACATATTACATTGTCTAACATATACAAAACTGGAATGTATAAAGCACAATTTGTGGTTTTACTAGGTGTTACGAATCAAACAATTTCTTAGAAAGGGTCAGTGATCCCCTGGATTCTCAGCAAACTCACAGTGATGAAAAGACACAGGGACGCCACTGCAGTTTGGAACTTTAGACTTGCTGATAGCTATTTTTTTTTACCATTGGACAGAGGCACCATGTTTCCAGTCTTTATGGTAAGGCTTTATGGTAATATCTCCTGGCTTCAACTTCATATTGAACAAACAGATGTGAGAGTGGTACTGACCTCTCTATATAACTCTTGGCCAGAAATCAAATAGTCTTTTCCAAAATGTCATATATTTCCTTTAAAGTTTATTTTCTTTTGCCAAAGTACTTTCAAAGATCCAAAGTGATTTGAATAATTGAATAACTCACTTTAATCTGTCATTTCCCTTTATTCAGGTATCATTGGCTGATGTTAAGGATGCTTTGGTTCCAAAATCAGACTTGGAGGTAACCCCACATCATCTGTACTGTTGCCGCTTGTGCATCCTGCAGTGGAGATGGTCCACTGGATCACACAGTGGGGGACATGTGTCTGGCTTCAGACTCTGCTGGCCTTTTCCTTGGGCAACTGCCCCTCGATGGCCCCGAGTTCTGTCAACTACTCTGTGCTTTACACCATGCCCTTCTTCCAGGCACAGGGCCCCATCCAGAACATTGTGAACAACTCACTCTATCAGGAGGTGTATGTAGCTTCTCAGAATGTGATTGAGGCTGTGAGCAGAAGCTTGGAGAAGGTGTGGGAACTCCGCACTGGGCCGGTGGGAAGCCCATTGTGCCAAATTTGTGACTTGTGTGACATTGACAAGGATCCCAATTTTTTGGATGACACAAACAACCAGGTCTTGTTGTTGGACACTTTGTTTATGTATTTATACTCATGTGGAAGTTCTCAGTATGGTGTATGCTATTTCCACCAATTAAACTCAAATGGAGAGCCACCTTCTCTTTCCAAGTGTTTGTTCAGACGGGATTCAAACTCTGCTGCCTACTGTCCTGACTGTGTGGCCAGCCCTCTTGGAACCAAAGTCACCATGGTTGAAGAGGGTCAAACCGTCTACTTTTTTGTTGCCAACACAGTCAATGACAGTGTGACCCAGCGTTATGGTAGGAAGTCGATATCGGTTCGCCGACCTCTGGCCACTGAAGATGGCTTCTACAGCGATGTACGTGGCCTAACTGTCCTTCCCGGCCTGCGGAGGACTTACTTTATTGAATATATATACAGCTTTTTCACTCAGGAATTTGTCTATTTTCTCTCAGTCCAGAGAGAGAGCCCCGATCAGGACTCATCTCCATTTCAGACTCGTTTGGGACGTCTCCCACGGAATGAATGGGAGATGAAGCGCTATCGTGAGGTGATCCTGGAGTGTCGGTTTGAACCAAAACGCCGTAGGAGGAACGTAGCCAGTGAACCCTACAAAGATGTTGTGTACAATGTTGTCCAGGCAGCTCACTTTGGCAAGGCAGGCAGGGAACTGGCAGAGGAGTTAGGGGCGGAGGAGGAGGATGACATCCTCTATGGGGTTTTTGCTGTTACTGAAGATGACGGGGTCACGGAGCATGACTCGGCCCTGTGTGCCTTCCCCATGGACAATGTGAACAAAGCCATCACTGATGGGGTGGATGGTTGTTGTGAGTCTGGACCAGAGCAGCTCTCCAGGGGACTCTGCCATTTCCAGCCCTGTGAGAGCTGTCCACATGAGGTGAGCCCATCAGCTTACTAACACAGTTTACCAGAGGTGTAGTGCTATTTGCTGAAGTGCTGGAGCGTACCTTATGGCGACACTTACTGTATGGCGCTCCTATGAGGTTTGTTTCTAGGGCCATGTAAACACTTTTCCTACAGTGGCAAGTTTACATATATTAAAGTTAATCAACTGCCATTATCCACACAATCAAATGTTAGAATGATTTTATTTTCTGATGTGGCAGAATAACAGTGTGAATTAGTAGGCATTTGTCACAGTGTGAATGTACCAGGCCATAATCTCCCTATGAAAAATGGAAATTTGCCCCACCCCCCAAATATTTGTGATGACAGATATCAAATGCCTCTTTAGGCTATAAGAAAACAAATGTTCTCAATTCAAAAGTGTTAAACCCACTCAAAAACGTAGTGAATGTTCAAGGAGCTCCTCCTGTTTCATATTGGTTCACATGTCAATCAGCAACAGTGGACACATCAGTTGTGTGACTGGTCAGCATGTGCCAAAGTTTGGCCATGTGCCTAGTTTGTCAGTCTGGACGATCTGAGTTTCGTTCTGTCACTTGTCTTTTGTAAACTGGGTCTGTAGTCGACACTAAACTGTGTCTCTGTAAACCATCCACCATCAATATGTGATTGGATAAAACACACAAACCTTTCATTCATATGGATAGGTGTTTGCTGGGGGCAGATCTCTCAGGCATGTCTGGCACATGTTCCTTTAATATGGAAAACAGAGAAAGAAATTAGACCTTGTTGTGGCTTGTTCAAGTCAGTGGAAACCATAATTTGTTTGAGCGTGAACAAGGAAGGGCCAAATGAGTAAAGTATTATTAAGTACTGTATTTATCGGAGTTGCTTTGATGTAAGCATTTTGATCAGAAATGCTAATGACAAGTATTATACGTCAGTGTTCTTATGATTATTATATGGAGAAATACTAGTTTATGCAATCATGTAAACCTTTACTTACAGTATGTGTAGGAGCAGCATTACTATGCAATTATAGACTGAGCCAAACAAGGTATGAACCATATTCATACCTTACATCTGGACATTTCCTGCAAAGAAAAGCAAAAAACAAACAAACCACAATGTTCCTGCTAAAAAGGGTTTGATATTTTGTCAAATACACTTTTTTTGCTTACTGCTGAGAAGAAATATGACGCTGAATGGTTATGTTAGCGCAGCATATAGCCTGGAAATAAATAAAAGAACTAGTCTGACCTGTTCAAAATTTTAAAAATAATCTACTTATGAGCACCTCTACAGCTCAGTCACATGTTATATTTTGCTTGTTTAATTCACACAAAAACAGAAGTGTAAATATGCCAGTTTATGACTTTATGAGGGATTATGTGCTGCAGTATACATTATAGTGGCTGAGAGCAATGATTTCCTGGAGTTTGGTCGTCACCGTGAGCAAAAACAGATAAAGAAAATCAAAGTAAAATGTGTTAATAAGTGAACTATCAGTTGGATTTTGTACATTTTGACAGAGCCAGGCTTTTCTGCCTGCTTTCAGTATTTATGCTAAACTAAGCTCCACCTGTGGGCTATTCAGCATGCACATGTGAGAGGGTATCAATCTTCTCATCTAACTCTTGGCCAGAAAACAAAGAATTTCCCTGAAACTTGAACTGTGAAAACCAGAAGCTCGCTGAACCCCTACTGAGTTGTGGTGGGGAAGTTTTGAAAAGTGAAGAGCTGATGAACTGTTTGAATCTTTGAGGCCATCTACTTGAGTGTGACTATGTTTATCTAAGCATATGGCCTTTTTTGAAAAACGTCCTCTAGAGAAAATTGCTCTTCATTTCCTTATGCTGTGCATATTTCCCAATGCTAATTGTTGGTGGCTGGGGTGAGAGCTGGGGAGTGGGAATGTTGTGTTATGACTTCAGCCCTTTTGTCAGTCCTAGTGTCTAGAGAATTTCACAGTTCCAGTGCATGTCTGAAAGGGTATTACGAGTAAACCCAACCAGTTTGGGACTTTGCACATCATGCCAAAAATATGACCACCAAAGTTCTCCAACTTGAAACACTGTTGTTGTAGCTCTGATTTTGTGGTGTGAATGCTGTATCTTTGAATTCATGGTAAGAAGAAAGGTTTGTTGTGATTGCTTCTTCTGTTTTGTTGTCTGAATGTTGAGTAACCTGCCTGTGGGATTGTCCAACAATCTGAAATACTGGTTCCTCCATTTCTAAGCAGATCCAAACACCTACAGTATGTTGCCAATAGTGTCAACTGTGCCTTACAAATACTGTGCTTTTCTGTATTTGATATGTAATCAAAATATTGACACAGATTGAATAATGAAGAATGTATTCTTCTTTCATACAAGCAATGGAAATCTGTTGTCAATCTGTTACTGGCTGTTGGCCTTTCACTGTTATATTTTACTTAATGAGTGGCCTGGCCACTTGGGGTATCTTGCTAAATTCCAGTTGATAAATTCCCAAATAATGATGGATTTTTAAGTCAGACTTTCTTAATTTGAGTTGAATTAACCAAATTTGAGTTTTGGGGTTCAGGCAACTAAATTCTAACCAAGAATCTATGGTTCTTTATTGTTTAGAGTTGAACGACTTCTGTCAAGAGCAGTGCCGTTGGTGTTTTATTCTTAAGCATCAGGCTCATATCATGGGACTGATTACAATAAGGATGCGTCTTCAAGGACATTTTAGTGTCTACTTAATTTGAAAAATGTTTATATCCTAGTTTCCTGTTTTCACTTTTATATGCCAAGAAAACAGTTATAAAGTTTTATTTCTTTGGTTTTATATCCCAACTTCAGCGATGTAATCTGGTACATACATGAAGAGTCCTGACAGTTTAAACCAACGGCAACCCATCCCGCTCTCTGTTTATAACTTCAAGAATATTCTTCTATCAGAGATACAGCACATTAACATTTATCATGGCCATGTCAGTTATAAAGTCATCATATTATCAAAACAAATTCATCTTGTGCTCCTGATGTACCAGGCATACCACAGTATAACAAGCAAATAGCCGAGTATGTCTTCCGTAAATGTCCATTCTGGACCTTTGGGATAGTTTTTTTTTAAAAACACTTACTATACAAGGTGTTTCCTACTGTTTGATCTTCATGATCCTTAGAACCATTCAATGCTTAGGAAAAAGCAGAAGGCCAGACTCCTCGTACGTCTTTCTGTTGTGCTGTATCTAAAAGCCATAGCCACCTGTTGCAGGCCCTTCTTTCTACCTAGTTAAAACATGTCTGATAACACTAGTTTAAATAGTGTGAAGTGCACTTTCTGCCTCACTTATTTCTTGTTGTTTCTTTATTCTGCCCTCTGCTGCGTGTGGCCTTGGTACTAGAGCATGGAGAACAACGCCACATGCAGAGACCATCCTACCATGGTGTCAAAGCCCTATTACAGAGTGGACCTCTTCAACAGACAGATGACAGATGTCCTGCTGACCTCTCTGCTGGTAACAACCATCGAGAACAAGACCGTCGCTCATATTGGCACCTCTACTGGACGCTTGTTACAGGTACAGATGGGAAGAAAATATCTTTTATTCTGTAACCTACTGCTGTCTTATCAGTTAGTTATGGTGACTGTTTTGACCCTTGTATATGATGCACTACTTAGCACTGTCTGTTGTGACTGTGTTGGCAGCTTGTATTGACAAGATCCAGCCCCATTATCTTTGCCAATTACTCTTTGGTAGAGAACCAGAGGGTCTCGTCCATTGCTGCTGTATATTCATCAGAGTATCTTCTTTTCGTGGTTGGAGACAAGGTACGGCCACAGGTCAATGTCTTTAAATAAGAGTAAAAACTGTCTCAGATTTTGTAAATGTGTACAATGGTGTTTGCACTGTATATTATACCTAATGGGAGATGGTGTTCTGTCCTCTACAGTTCAAAGATGTGCAGCTCAGATTACTTACATTTATACATTTGTTGGGAGTGTGACTGATTGGACAGGCTCTACTCGACTGACCTGTCCTCTGCTTTCTGCAGAATGTATGATGGGGTATGGTGTAACCTCAGTGGTCCTAAGAATGTTGCTAAAGAAAATGAATAAGCTTAATATGTTATTGCAGTTTGGTTCACTGGCTCAGTAATCACATGGGTTTTATATTACTCCTGTAGAATGGAAGGACTACTCTCTTGCGTGGTTGAGATTGGGACGCGATAGGAAAATTAAACTCATCTGAAAAACTATTATGCTTTAAGGTTTCTGGTTAAGCCATTTAACACATTCCCTCCCCGAAAAGCATATATGCAAATAAACAGTCATTGTCAGAAAATGTGTTTTTTTAAGATAATATGGTGGAGTGTAAATTAAGGAAATAAAATTTGGTAAAATTCACTTTTTTTCCCAATGTGTCAAAAAACCAGGTAATTTAGACTTTTTTCAGGACCAGGAGCTGTTTGTGTGAACCGTGTGCTGAATCAAGTATAATGGTACATGTCTCTCTGCATGGAATTAATAAATTGTTTAACTTCTAAACTGAAGTCATTTAGTTAGGATTTTAATGGGCCTTATCTTTATATTCTGATATACCTTGATACATACAGTATCTTTATATATATATACAGTAAAATTGTTTAAATAGATAAACATTAAAAGTAAGTTTGTTATCATCTGATCATCTGCTCAACAGAAGAAATCAGAATACATGCAGGCCTGTACCAGTGTTAGTATAGCTCAAAAATTAAAAGAACACTAAATCACACATCGGATCTTGATGGACAAATTATTCTAGTTGAAAACCTTTACTAATGTACATTGTATAATTTGTTCAGCACAAAATGACATAACAATGGTCAAAACCAAAATCATCAACCCATGGAGGGCTGTATTCAAAATCACACTGAAAATCAAAGTGAAAAACTGAAATCACTGATACACAATGTCCCATAGGTGCTCAACTGAATTTAGGTCAGGGGGACATGAGGGCCAGTCAATGGCATCAGTGCCTTCATCATCCAGGAGCTGCCTACACTCTGTCCACATGAGACTGAGCATTGTCCCGCACCAGGAGGAACCCAGGGTTCACTGCACCAGTGTAAGGTCTGACAGCCGCTCTGAGGATTTCGTCTCAGTAACTCACAGCAGTTAGGGTACCGTTGGCTATGGCATGGAGGTCTGTGTGGTCCTCGAAGGATGTGAATGCCAGACCATCACTAACCCACCACCAAACCGGTCATGCTAGATGATGTTACAGACAGGATAACATTCACCACGGTGTCTTCAGACTTCTTCACGCCTGTCATATGTGCTCATTGTGAACCTGCTCTCATCTGTGAAGAGAACGGGGCACCAAGGGCAGACCTGCCAATTCCAGTGTTCTCTGGTGAATGTCAGTCGATCTGCACAGTGCTGGGCTGTGATCACAGGTCGTACTAGAGGACGTCAGGCCCTGATGTCACCCTCATGGAATCTGTTTTTGGCAGTTTGGTCAGAAACATGCACACCAGTAGCTGCTGGACGTCATGTTGTAGGGCAGTGCGTCTCCTGTTCCTGCTTGTACAGAGGAGCAGATACCGGTCCTGCTGTTCCTGTTGCCCTTCTACGGCCCTGTTCAGCTCTCCTGGTGTAACAGTCTCCTGGTATCATTTCCATGCTCTTAAGACTATGCTGGGAGACACAGCAAACCTTGCAACTGTACATATAGATATGCCATCTTGGAGTAAGTGGACTACCTGTGCAACCCAATGGGGCTGCAGGTACTGATGTACATATAGATATGGGGGTGGATCTGGCTCATGAGGTAGGGCAGTCGTCTCCTGACCAGCAAGTTGGTAGTTTGACTCCCGGTCTCCCTGCATGCCTAAGTGTCCCTGAGCAAGACACTTGTGTGTTGTTGTGTGGCAGCCTGTCGTCATCGGTGTGTGAATGCTGTGCGTGAATGGGTGAATGGTGTATCATCTCCTGTAAAGTACTTTGGCCAGTGCAACACACTGTGGAAAAAATGCGCTATATAAATACAGTCCATTTACCATATTCCATCATGGAGTAAGTGGACTACCTGTGCAACCCTGTGTTGTTGTGTGGCAGCCTGTCGTCATCGGTGTGTGAATGCTGTGCGTGAATGGGTGAATGGTGTATCATCTCCTGTAAAGTACTTTGGCCAGTGGCACCTATGTCATTTACACTGATCAGTCATAATATACTGTATGTGCAAACCTGGAGTAAGTGGACTACCTGTGCAACCCAATGGGGCTGCAGGTACTGCCTCATGCTACCAGTAGTGTCAAGGACACGAGCAAAACACAAAACTTGAGAAGAATCAGTCAGAAAGGATCAGGAGAGGGCATTTGTCTCTGGCTGCCACATGTAAAACCATTCCCTTTGTGGGAGTTGTCCTGCTTTTGCTGCTCCATTGCACCTGTTCCTGAAACCCTGAAACTGATTCACAGTCACTCTAAGTGGACAGACTGATATCCCTGAAGTTTAACTGACTTGGTGTCATACAGTGTTGATCAAGTGTTCCTTTAAGTTTTTTGAGCAGTTTAGATGTAGGTTGTCCAGTATAGAATAAAATGAACTCTTAAATATTTTTACAAAAATTTCAAACACCTGCCCAGGTTCTCACAAGGTGCACTGCAATAATCAACATGATACTGTAAATACTGTAATTATTTGGTTTTGAAACAGGATCTGGAGTAAAGCCATGTGCATAACGTTATCTCATAGCCACATTTTTATATATAAAAAGCACAAGGCACAGACTAAACTGTCTTAAGACATAAAAACTTCACTGTGTTTGTTTTAGATGATTCGGGTGCCCCAAAGAGGGCCGGGCTGTCAACACTTCCTGACTTGTGCCATGTGTCTCACAGCCCCTAAATTCATGGGGTGTGGCTGGTGCTCTGGAGTGTGCTCCTGGGAGAGTGAGTGTCACAGTTACTGGAGGAATGAGTCTTGCCCACCTGGGATCATTGGGGTGAGGTTTGTTCTGTCATGCAGGATACAAACCTCTATTTGTACAACTAATAGAAACATTTCTTTTCAAACTCATGCTACACTATATAATCTGCTTTACTGATGCAGTTCTTTCCACGGACCGCTCCTCCTGATGGTCAAACGGCGCTAACAGTGTGTGGGTGGGAGTTCCAGTCACCTCAAAGACCTGCCATCACCTCCAGAACCCACCAGGTCCGACTGGGACACACTGCCTGCACTGTACTTCCAGCCAAAAGCAACAACACACAGTGAGTGACACACAGTACAAGGGTCATTTAAGTTCATCTTTGCGGAGTACTCTCCCTTAAAATTTTCCTTTTTTGTGCTATTAAAAAGACCATTTTCTGAACTGTTAGCATACCAACATGGCTTTTTATTGCAAAGTATAGCAGAGGTTGAAATTTAGAGGAAATGAATGGCCAGTGTGGCTAGAAACTGTTAATACTTTAAGGGTAGGCTTTTTTTTCTGTAGCTTCTCCATCATGACATGATAATGGTAATCTCATGCACAAGCAGTGGCTTGATTGAACTCACTGCAGTCTGTATTTTAGCAAAACGTTAATCTGTGGTATCCTGCTTCTTGTTTAAAATTCAGCAGTTTTAATGCTCCTTGAAATTAAATTGTTACTGGTGTTACAGTAATTGTATGTGTCACATACATGCTGACACAAGTGTTTTGTTGCTGCTCTTTAGCCTGGTATGTAAGATTCGCTCTGGGGCCACTGAGCTGTCCAAACCTGTCAACATCACAGTGGAAGTGCATGAGGGCAAGTTGGAGGGACGCTACTGTATTGACGGGAAGGCAGAAATGCCAGGGTTCACATTTGTGGTAATTTTACCTATTGCAGTGCTCATGGCAGCATCACAAGCTGAAAGTAGTTTCATTTCATACACTGCAATCACTTATTGCAAAAATCTTTCAAAACTGCTATGAACTCTCTCCAGATTCCCAACATCACAAAGATCAAGCCCAACTATGGGCCTCGTGTTGGGGGCACCCTCATCACAGTGACTGGGCCTCACCTGAATGCTGGGACGACAAGGAAGGTCACTCTCAATGATGTGGCCTGTCCCATAGTGAGGTCTGGAAATACATCTTCTTATTTTTTTTTATCACACTTACCTCAAAAATGTTATAATATTTGCCTTGCAGTGTTTTGTTTCCCTACGTTTTAGCAGTTAAGATGAGTTGCTGCTCAGAGTATTTGGATTACTATGACAACTTGCCCCAGTTTGTGTATAAAATAACGACCATTTGGGGAGCTACCATAATCTTGGCATCCAAAGACTGACTCAGAGCTGAACTATTTGCTATTGGAGATAAGATCTTATTGAACATTAAGCTTTTTGCTTGACTGCAGTGTATTTGTTTTGGCATGTAGTTTACATACTGTATCTCTGTCGCTCTGCAGGGTAACAGAACCCAAAGGCAACGTGTCCTCCATCATCTGTGTGTCGCAGCCCATCTCAGAGGTGAGGGATGTCCCTCTGAGTGTTTTCATCGACAAGTCTCCTGTCCTCACTACAAAAGTTTTTTACTACAAGGAAAATCCAAAGATTACATCTGTCCAGCCTGACTGTAGCTTTGACAGGTAGGCCAGTGAGTCCTGCTGTGTATGCACTCTGTGTTGTTTCTGATCAGTTCAGATTGATTTTGATCTGGAAATCAATCAGTTTTATTAAGACAAAAGAAATATAATTAGACAGACACTTTATTTAATGTGCACTACATTTTTTCTTTCTTTCTGTTATCTTTCACATGGTATAACAATCGCTCACATTTGTAGGGGGTCAAAGATTGTGATTGAAGGGGAGAACCTGGACTCTGTTTACCGCACCATCATCCGCTTCAAACCCAATGAGAGCCACCTGAAACCTGTGACAAGGGTACATTGATCATCACAATGTACAGTAAAAGTATTATTTTGAAATCAGTTTACAGTTTTAGAATGGCTTAACTATTTTCTTGCAGGAGTGCATAGGCAAGTCCATGCCCAAAAGGATGGAGTGTATCACTCCTGTATTCCCGAGGGATGAGACAGAGGAAGGAGAGCTCTCTTTCAACATGGACGGAGCACTGGAACTGTGGAACAAAGAGTTCTCCTACCACCCCTATGGCGAGCCCATACCTTTTGAAACTGACGGACGTGTGCTGAGTTTGTACCCTGGCTTTGATGAAGTGTCACTCCATGTAAGGTCTTGTTATGAGGTTATTTCCATATGAATTAATGAAAAAAATGTGTATGGATTTGCAGTATTTATTATGGAGTTTTAAATAACTGATCTTGATTTGACCTCCCTGTTCACAGCACCAGAAGCTGAACCTGGTGAGCTCCTGCATGACCATCATCATGACTGTCGCAGGCGTCGACTGTGATGCTAAAGTCCTGGATAATGAGATCACCTGCAGGATCCCAAAAAACATGACTATCCCCAGTGAAGGACTTCAAGTGAAAGTTAGTCAGGCTGGCTATTTACATAGATGATGATTAACTGACTGATTGAAATGAATTCAACAAGAGACACAGGTCACACATATTGTATGAACCTCCTGTCTGGCCAGTGATCACTAACCCTTTATGTACCTCATGTAGCTAACTTGTCAATTAGGATAGGCATGTAATAGCAAACACTGCTCAGTACATTTCTATTGTAGATCATCAAAATGTTTAGCTAAATTTAAAGAGATTTTTTAAAAATAAATTACACATTTAACTATACACTACAGTATGTCAGGAAATTCATGTCCTCTCTTCTGACAAGCTGTTTTTGCTAACATTTGACATCAGAAACCTTAAAGTAAAAGCAAAATATTGTTCCTCTGTAGAACTGACAAACAAAAAGCTTGAGCTTGAGCCAGGCTGGCTGTTGCTGCTAGCTGGCTGTAGCTTCATATCAATTGTACAGACAAAGAAGTGGCATCTTCTCTTTTAACTCATCAAGAATGTGAAAAAGCACATTTACAAAATATTTCTTTAAATAGAATGTCAATATGTAATCAGGTCTTGAAGGCAGTTCTCAAATGATAAAATCACTTTCCTGTTAGATACTATATGTGTGTTTGAAAGTTTGAATTTGAATTCGTTAAATTTCAGTTGTACGGTTGAACTCATACAGTGGTTTCATTTTTGGCAGTGAGCCATGTGTTTTCACACACAGAAGTCTAGAGCTTTAAAGTCACTGATGTGTGACAGAAAACAAAGCCAGGTTGGTGTTAACAGCTTAAACTTAGCTGTAGCACTTGTAAGAAAAAGCTGCAATAATTATGATATCTGATATGTATGATGACTGCAGATCGCCATCAATGGGCAGGTCCACCATGTTGGCACAGTGGTGAGAGTCAGCAACCACTACATGGTGGGGATTTTTCTGGGGATCCTGGCAGCTCTGGTGGCTGGGGCGGTGCTGGCCTTTGTTGTCATGAAACACTTGAGGAAGAAGAAGAAAGGTGGGCTCCTCCCTGTTATGTGGACCTTGGTCAGATTTGTTTGTACACCTGCTTCCGGATATGAGTAGGAATTTGGATGAATTATACAAGTCTTTCTTCAGTGGTTGATGATTAAAAAAGTCTTATTGAATGTTTTTCAGCCTCCATGGTGGAGACCTATATGGCTCAAAGTGTTAACTCTGGGACAAATAATGTGGAGCTGTCGCCTATGGGGGACTACAGAAGAGGTGACTGTCTAGCTAAGCACTCATCATATTAAGGTGCCACCTTTGACACATACCTTTGTAACTATCATTAATAAACCCTTGTCTCTGCACTTGTACCAGTAGTATCCCTGAGTCCTTCCACACTCCTAGTAGGGCCTGTGGTGTTCCCCAGCCTGACCTATGCTGCAAGTGGCATAGACCCTACCCTCACCCCCCTCATGCCGCCAGAAAAAATTTCCATCTCCAGTTTTAGGCCAGAGCTGCTAGAGGAGGTGTGCTGATATGCTTATTGTGCAGCACCATCAGATCATAGGGAAGGGTAAGAAAAAACACTGTCTATGCCTAAAACAAAACATTGTTATGTAAGCTATATCACATTCTTTGTTTTTCTTACAGGTCATTTTGGCACTGTCTATCATGGCTACTTCACAGACCACAACAACAGAGAAACACACTGTGCTGTCAAGTCTTTGAATAGTGAGCAATGCTGCTTGTTGAGTGTTGATTTACAGTACATGCCATAGAAATGCACTAGCAAGTGTCTCTAGTTCCACTGCTGGGAAACATATTGGCAGAAGATCTAAGATGCACAATCTTTATGTTATATGTACAGTAGCTTTTCAAAAATGTAATTTTAGTGTCTTTCCAGAGTCCGTTTCAAATCATGTTTATGTATGTGTCATCAGGAATAACAGATGTCGAGGAGGTGGAGCAGTTTCTGAAGGAAGGCATCATCATGAAAGGTTTCCACCACAGCAATGTGCTGTCTCTGCTGGGCATTCTCCTGCCGCAGGAAGGGCTTCCCCTAGTGGTTCTGCCATACATGAAGCATGGCGACTTACGACACTTTATACGCTGCGAGAAGAGGGTGTGACAGCTACATTAAAACAGTGGATAACCATCTATTAACTACCTAATAAGCTTTTGTAATATGGCCAACTGTTTTAATTCAGTGTTTTTGTCACGTTTGTGGGATTTCTCTAGAACCCCACTGTAAAGGACCTGATTGGCTTCGGCCTACAGGTTACCAAGGGGATGGAGTATTTGGCTCAGAAGAAGTTTGTGCACAGAGATCTTGCAGCACGTAACTGCATGTGAGTCACCAAAATATGCAGAGAAATTCTCAATTAATTCATTGTCATGGGGGCTGAATTTATCTTTGATAGGGCACCAAATTGGTTAAGGATGTTAAATCATAGTGCTCGGATGTAATGTTTTGCTTTTTCTGTCTTTAGGCTAGACGAGTCGTACACAGTGAAGGTGGCAGACTTTGGCATGGCCAGAGATGTTTTTGATAAGGAGTATTACAGTGTCCAGGACCACAGGAAGGCTAAGCTGCCTGTCAAGTGGATGGCCATTGAGAGTCTGCAGACTCAGAAATTTACCTCCAAGTCAGATGTGGTGAGTAATACTGTATAAAGATTATCTTAACATAATCAGTCTCTCTGCAGTAGCTGTCAGTGTTTTTGTTTTTGTCTTCTACGTCAGTGGTAAATGTGAGGGGTCACAAAATGATTGCATGTCATGTACAAACATGAATGTGAACCATAGACACATACACACACCCCCAAAATATCTGACAAAAAATAACGAGAAGTGAACATTAAGGTCTGTAAGATGAATGTAGCCATATTTCTATTATACAAATTTATGTCAATTTTTTTCACACTTTCCTCAATTTCATTTTCACACCATTTAGGCTCTTGTAAATTTTATTAAATTAAACAATGAAAAGCTCAGTCTTTGTTTAACATGGTCACAGACAGTACATACTGTACTTTATATGTAAATATAATGATGAGATGGTTTTGTTCAAAGGGATCACAGACCACAAAAAAAGCACTGTTCAGTGTAGAATTTCACTTTGACTGCAATTTGGTTGGACTAAATATTAATGGACTGCATTACAGCACAATATAGGAAACATTATTGTGGTGCAAATGTATTCCAATTCCACTGTCATATTATCAGTTTAACAGTGGCCTATCTAATTAAGAGTTGTATTTCCTGTGTTCTAGGCTGTATTGTTTTTTTGGCTGAGTGATATTAAGCAGTGTCTTTTAGCACCTTTAAATTCAGATATAGGATTTAAAAATGTTTCTTTATGTATGAATAAACTCAGACCACTTATGCACACCAGTTAACAGCTACTGTTATAATGTTTGTTTCTCTGATGCAGTGGTCCTTTGGTGTTCTGATGTGGGAGATGCTGACCAGAGGAGCGAGCCCTTACCCAGAGGTGGACCCTTACGACATAACACATTACTTACTGAAGGGCAGGAGGCTACCCCAGCCACAGTACTGCCCTGACCCCTTGTAAGTTGTCATAAAAACAGCTTTATATTGGCTACTTTGAAAAAAGAATAATTTTAAGTTTGATGATGTTGTTTAGTTTGCGCATAGCAAATGTATAACTTGACAGTCTATGCAGCATGACTACTATTTTAGCAACACTAATGCAGATTTACAGGTCCAAGGCATGAGAGAAACGGCACGGGCACAAAGTCCAAGTAGTAATAACAAGATGTCCCAATGGTCACTCAGTGTGAAAATCATGAAATGTCCACTACTTGGTATTGCAACATGGTTAGAAATACTGTTTGGCTGTTTGTTAATCTATAACTGAATTTGAAGACTTCACACACACACACACACAATCAGATACAATACTAGTGAGACTTCACAGCTGACATATTTTTGCTGTTTTAATGTTAAATCCCTTTTGCTCACCAACTTAAAGAGTGATGGAGAATAAATCAACCATTCATACACCTTTTCCACCGAGGCCTTAATATATCCAGTGTGGGTTAAAGGCTCATGGAAAACTGTGAACTTACATGGGTCCTGACCCATGTAGAACACCAGGGCATGAAAGAATTGTTTGTTTTAGGAAATAACCTTACATTTATTTACATTCTTGATGAAAGATGGATGAGAAAATTGATACCACGGTCATGTCTGACCATTCTGTATGAAGCTGGAGCCAGTAGCTTAGCTTAGCATAAAGACAGTGAACAGTGTGAAACAGCTAGCCAGGCTTTGTGTGAAGGTGATAAAATCTGCCCACCAGCACCTCTAAATCTCACTTGTCAACATTTGAGATGCTGTTTATTTATTGTACAAAAGCAGGTGTAAAAATAATAATGCCGTTTTATGTGTCTGACAGTTTCTTCCAATAACTTCCAGGGGTTTCTGCTGGTTGCCTGCCAACTGGTCCCATCTGGTGTGTAGGGACTTTAGTCCCTAGCCTTCAATAGCCTTTAGTCCAGGGGTGGCAAATTCCCTGTACTTGCTGCTGATTACCTGGATCAGGTATGTTCAGTCAGTCAGTAGCTGGAATATACCATCTTAGATGAAGGTGGAATAAGGAAAGGCAAAGTGTATTGGTATCTTCCAGCTTCTGATTTACTGAACACAGCTGATCCAGGTAATCAGCAGCAGGTAGGGCAGGGACAGTTGGAAAACAAGCAGGGCAGCGGCCCTTGAGGGCCAAAATTGTCTACCCCTGCTTTAGACAGGTTGTAAACTTTTGCTTATCAGATAAAAGGAACTAAAATATTGATTAATTTAAAGCCCCTCTAGCTACCATTTGTCTTCAAACTCTCAACCATTAGAGAGTGATTGAGAATCAAAACAAGTTCAGGCGGTAACCCCCTCCCTCCACTCCTTCTTGCCCTTGCTGCCCTGTCCATAAACCTACATCATATGTGATAACTACAACCGGAGACAAACTTGGCAGTCAGGCAGCTCAACAATAATATTAATGCATACAGAATATAGCCTATAAAGCCTGTGGTTTTGGTGGCATTGTAGTGACAAAGATCCCTTTTCCTACTTAAAGCAGTAACACAAGCAAATTATACAAAGGAATGTGTTTTCCCAGTAATACTGATACAGTACTAATGTTCTGGCCACCATCGAATCGCGTTCAATGTTACATACTTGGTGCAAAAAATGTGATAAGGTATCCATGTGTTGTATGTGAAATAAGACAAATTTTATCTTACACTTTGTTAGTTGAACAAACTCCCCACTTTTCTAGTTGTGTTGACAGCGTAAATTTTAAGAACCTCTCATTAAAATGCTACATGGACTGTTGTGTTATGTCTGACATAAACAAGCTGTGTGGCCTGGACCAAAACTGAGCAGAAATTGGCAAACTGAGTAAAATTCCTTCATTTGCTAAATCAGAAAACTGTGCTGGTTTCTGTTGATTGGAAAACAAAACACTAATGTTGCAGTCAGTTGAAATGACTGCAAATTACAACCAGAATAATTAAATGCAAAGGTACCAAATTGAAATGCTAACATTAGCTTGCTAATTATGCTGACATAATCACATTAGCCAGCTACTTATTAAAAAGAAAAACAGCCACATTTGTGTCAAATTTTAGTCATTTGGCTGCTTTTAATACTCTCCATCTCTGACATGCCAAACTGATGTTAACCCTGGTTTTGCCTCGCACTTTTGTCACACTCTTTTCTGAGCCATTCTTCATGAACCTTATTGCTTTGAAAAACACATCTTATAACCTCAGATCAGCAGGGGCATGGAAGAAGTGCAGTGCGGATATTAATAACAGTGGCCACAAAGGGAAAGAAATAAACACAAGGTCTGAAGATAGCAGAGTGGGACAGGGGACTTTAGTACAGCAGGGAGACAACACTTGTAGGCAATTTTTTACTTCATTTATCTTAATTTGTGCTAAATCTTATTTAATGCATCTTTAATTTAATTTATTTATTACATTTAAAAGAATTTCAGGAATTTTCAAAAGAATAAATGATTTAAGAAAATGTATGCTAGCTTATAAAACAGTGATCAAGTTGGCTGTTCTTCAGTCGGTGTGTCTATGTTTTCTAGGTATAGCATTATGCTTCAGTGCTGGGACCCTGATCCGGAGTTGAGACCCAGCTTTGCTACGTTGGTGTCAGCTGTCTCTACCATTCTGTCAGGCCTGGAGGGAGAACACTACATCAGTCTGAATGTCACCTATGTCAACCTGGACCAGCCGCGGCCCTACCCTGCTCTCACGGAGTCTGCTGATGAATACGACTCCACAGATGGTGAAGGCTCAGGCTCTTCTTGAGAAGAGAACTGTCTCTTATTTCAACTTTAAACTGGTATTGGTGCTAACAGCAAGAGCACACACACAAAAACTGCCAAGTCACACCGGGTGTCTTTTATTGTACCACTAAAAATGTGAAACAGAAAAATAGTTTTTATGCATAAAAGTGGTTGCAAGATGCTTTCAGCTGAATTAGCACAAACCTGGGCAGCCATATTGGAGGTCCTTTTGGCAACGGTTTGCTTAAAATAGCATTTGACCATCAAAACTAAAAGTATTGAATAGACATTTGGTATTTGTTTTATTTTTTACTGGTAACAGATAGTATCATGCCAAATCTAATTCGTTTTATAGTACCACGTTGTTTGCGACCCAAAACAAGAAAGAAAGAAAGAAAACTTATTGTTAACACTTCTTTTCTGTCCATTCAAAGCTAAATGGCATTATACTGGGTAATCAGCTTGCAGTTCCCCATCTAATTAACAATGGTACAACCAAATATTATTGTGCAAATAAGGGCACAGATAGTTAGATAACCAAATGTTACATATTGCTGAACTGACCTGTCCTCACACTACAGAAATCATTTTGAGATAGTGTTTTTTGTGCCCTGGTGTCATTGATATAGTCATTATAAATGTAGTCAGTATTTCCATGTCCACATCTAACAGTGTTTGCTTCAGTATTGAGGAGAGGAGTCACAAACAGCACAGCTTTGAGGCCTGTAAAATCAGTGTGGCAAAAAACTGGGCCTTGGCATAGTTTCACTGTTTGCAACATAGTCCATAGTTACAGTAGCATAGCCCACAATTTTAATGAATTCTTTTGTAGTCTAGTGATATTTAGATGAATCTGGGTTGTAACCAGAAGTTAGGGTGACCAGGCCACCTGTCTTGCAGTGGTACCTCACTTGAGTAATGTTATGCATACATTAGCATACACATACTACAGGCATATATTATAAATTTGAAAGTATACTAAAACATTATGGGGACAAAATGGGGCTATGGCAATGGTAGGTTCTTATTGAAGCACTAAAATCTGTCATTAGATGACATTTCACATGAATTTGCTAGATAGTAGTTGATAAAAAAAAAACTAATTTAATGTTAGCTTTATTAAAAAAAAGAAAAAGTGATCTACCATCTTTTTCTCCCAAAGCATTTCTCATGATGACTGATCAAATTACATTAGTAATCGACCTTTATCTGTTCAGGAGAACCACTGACAGATGTCATGAGTTTAACCATTCAAACCTTCACCCAGAGGTGGAAAGCAATTAACTACATTACTGTACATAAGTACCATTTTTAGGTATCTGTACTTTACTTGAGGATTTTCATTTTCTGCTGCTTCATACTTCACCTTCATTACATTTCAGTGAAAAATATTGTACATTGTACTCACTATGTTTATTTATGATAATTTTAGTTACTAGTTACTTTCAGAAAGTGGTTAATACAGTTTTTTTTCTCAATTGCTTTGGCACTAGTTTCATAACCTTTATGCCCTTTTTCTAAACTCTAGACACAGAACTCAAAAAGGTCACCATTGTAACACAGGATGTCCAAAGTTCAAAACATTACATTTTGCATTCAGATTTTTAGAGAAATCTTGCACTTACAGAATCAGGGAAACATTTCTTTAGATCACCTGCACAACTGTTATACATACACCCATTAGATACTGTAGTACAGAATATGCGATACGTTTCATCATGGTGCTACACGTAATGTTACTGTAAAAGGACCAGTAAAGAGAAAACTACAGATGCAGTGGAATCATTGAACAAATCTGAAATTTATTGATGAAATACAACACTGTACAACAGGCTCCCTTTAAATCAAAACAACAATTAGCTACAAAAAATGAAAAACATTAGAGTACTACCAAAAACAAATTCAAATTGCAGTGTTCCTCAAGTGCCTTACAAAAAGCAAAACAGAGGATTATAGTTCTTGCTCATTTCAATTAACCATGTCATGTGGATTTGGCCCCAGGTTCTCATCTACATCAAAATGAATGTTCTCATTTGCCAAACATTTTGGAAAGAACCTTCAGGCATGGCAAATTAACACCTGACAATGGTCTGCTGTGATGTCGTTGCCTCGTCCATGGCCCGGAGAAGGGTCACTTGTTGTTGTTGGCATCAGTGGATCTCGTTGTCCTGAAACCTTCATGATGTGAACATGAGATATTGTTCCTGAGTTTCTATAAAATTATACTTTAAGAGGAATACAACAGTTACTTATCATTTTGAGCAGTTGTATCAATTGATAGTTAGATCACTGTAATGACATGAACAGAAAGTCACTTCAAAAGCAATGTGTGAATTGCATTTTGAAATGGTGAATTAGTTCAATGAACAAATGATCTTTGGTTTTTATATATTGTCTCCAAGCAATAACAAAAAGTGCTAGAGTTTTGAAAAATTACATCAGGGTTCTGAAACTAGTGCCAAAGCGATTGAAGACTGTAAAACAAAATACAGTATAATTACAAGATTTATTGATACTTGGTGTAAAATCCACAAGCTACCCAGTTAGATCACTGTAATGACATGAACAGAAAGTCACTTCAAAAGCAATGTGTGAATTGCATTTTGAAATGGTGAATTAGTTCAATGAACAAATGATCTTTGGTTTTTATATATTGTCTCCAAGCAATAACAAAAAGTGCTAGAGTTTTGAAAAATTACATCAGGGTTCTGAAACTAGTGCCAAAGCGATTGAAGACTGTAAAACAAAATACAGTATAATTACAAGATTTATTGATACTTGGTGTAAAATCCACAAGCTACCCAGCAGTAATTCAAATTATAAACATATAAAGTTGTTAAAATTAGCTCTACCTTTACCAGCTTGAATTAGTTCAATGAACAAATGATCTTTGGTTTTTATATATTGTCTCCAAGCAATAACAAAAAGTGCTAGAGTTTTGAAAAATTACATCAGGGTTCTGAAACTAGTGCCAAAGCGATTGAAGACTGTAAAACAAAATACAGTATAATTACAAGATTTATTGATACTTGGTGTAAAATCCACAAGCTACCCAGCAGTAATTCAAATTATAAACATATAAAGTTGTTAAAATTAGCTCTACCTTTACCAGCTGCACATTAAATGTGATGCACACAATACTACATCAATAATTATAAAAGAAGAATATGATGTATATCGGTGTAAACTGTGCCATTTTGCATAATGTTATATATTGTCTCCAAGCAATAACAAAAAGTGCTAGAGTTTTGAAAAATTACATCAGGGTTCTGAAACTAGTGCCAAAGCGATTGAAGACTGTAAAACAAAATACAGTATAATTACAAGATTTATTGATACTTGGTGTAAAATCCACAAGCTACCCAGCAGTAATTCAAATTATAAACATATAAAGTTGTTAAAATTAGCTCTACCTTTACCAGCTGCACATTAAATGTGATGCACACAATACTACATCAATAATTATAAAAGAAGAATATGATGTATATCGGTGTAAACTGTGCCATTTTGCATAATGACTACTTTTGGTACTTTAAATATATTTTCTGCTAATACTTTTGTACTTTTGCTTAACATTTTGAATGCAAGATTTTTTACTTGTAATAGAATATTTTTACACTATGGTATTGCTAGTTTTACTTAAGTAAATAATCAGAGTACTTTTTTCACCTGCAGCAAGAATGTGTCCAGTACCACCTGCAGTAACGATGGCACCACTTGAGAGTACAACACATGAATCAACTGCTGAATTTGTCTATATTTTGGGTCATACTTCTGTGATTCAAAAAGCTGACAACAGTGTTTGTTTATAGATGTTTATAATATTTGTTTATGGATTTGTTTTCATGCTGTGGACTCTGAGTACATGTGAGAATGTATACGCCGCCATTTTCAGTTCGCTAATGTCACACTGTGACACATTTGTCATTATCGCTGCTGTGGACACTGAGCTTCCTCAGTCTTTTCTCGTGGTTTTCCACTAGAGGTCAGCATTCTGTTAAAGGTGGTCTGCACTGCTCCTGAAGACATTTCCAGCAACATGCAGCATTCTTTATGTTTTCATAGTTTTTGAAGTAGCATAGCAACAAGAATGACCCAGGTTGTTTCCCCCATCTCTGCAAACCAACCAACAAGCCCTCTATACAGCCAACATAACATCAGAGAAGAACACCACAGTAGACCAAGCATGTTTACCTCCTTTCTTCCTCTATCATTTGTTCTACCTTCAGACATTTGGCAGGACCCAATGACTGCATTTTTAATTAGAGGAGCTGAAGAAACAGCCAAAGTAGACCATAAAACCAACATACAGAGACACCTTCATGTCGCGTAAACGGACGTCACACAGAGCAAGCACACTTGCCCCACAACAAAACTGGAGTCGAATAAAACCAAAGGGAAAGAAACATCATAAAGTTTCCTCTTTTTTCATGCTGCCAAGAACAAAAGTCAATCCCTGTGTAGTGGAGCCTTTGATCTAGCTATAGAGAGTGAGCCCAGCCTAGTGATGTGTATGTACAGGATGAGGTCACCTTTTGCAGGACATAGCCTGTAGGATCCACAGTAAAAGAGGATCCAGACGGCCACGATCCCATCTTTCTACCTCTCCTTTTCTTTCTGTCTTTTGCTCCCTGTTTTATGTGGTCTATAAAAAATCTACAGAACCTGTGAAGGCTGCTGCTGTCAGCTGTGTGACCATCTCAAGCCTCGGAACGTTTCCTCTGAGATGGGTTCAGTTAGATCCCATAGGCCTTTTGATATGTATCTCGCACACATTAACATTCATTTTCTCCTTCTCTTCTTCTCTTGGGATTCTTAAGATTGGCTCAAACCAAACACTCAGATGATGAAATAACATAGTAGATGCTGTTTGACAGTGATGTAGAATGTGTGTATGATTTGTGTTTATATACTGTTTGTGTTACTGTACATGGCAGCTACATGAAGGAATATAACTGGTGCACAAGTGCTGTGTTTGTAGTTTGGAGAGATGGAAAGCAATCTGTGTGACTGACCAACTGAACAAGACTGTGAATGTGGTTGGCTAATTATTTCCATTGCTGTGTGATGATGGCAGACCCTCACAGTTAAATTCTGAAGTCGAACTGGGAGCTCTTGGATTTTGTTCCAGTAGGATTTGGCATAAACGAAAAGCCCCATGGAACCAGTGCAGCAAGACTCTGATCTTATGTACAGCCAAAAACATGTTGGACACACTGAGCATTTGCATTCAAATAAACATATTTTATGGTAGTGATATCACACTCATGAAACTTGGAATCCTACCTTCTGGACACTGGAATAACATCTTAATTAAAAATCAACATTGCTCTTCATTAACCTCCTAAAGTGATATGAAAACACACTATATAATGGACATCATGAACACTTTCAACCTTGAAAAACCATGTTAATTGAATTTATAAGAGCTGCATAGAAATAATCTATCAGTATTAAAGTGCACATTATTGGACCTTAATGTTTTTGTCATTGCTGTTAGTAGAAGACATGAAGAAGAAGCTATTTTTCCAGTAGGTTCAACCATAACTGGTGTATTCAATTCTTGATGCCCTGAGCACTTACAGCTGTATTTTACTTTATTTCTTGCTGTATGCTGAGAGGATTTTCTGTGACCATACACTGCACCACGTATTACACTGGCTAATTGAGGTTAAATTATCTCTCAATGGGCTGCTTCTCTCAGCTGCAGCCTAAATTTGTAGTTTATAGTGCTCTTTGCACATTTAATTGTTGCATACAGCCTTAGTGTAATATACTGTACGTATAAGTGATATTTTAATGCCACATTTCACACGTAATGCAGCTCAAAGCACTTTCATACACTAGGAGAGATGATCTAAATAATTTAGAGGCTTGCAAACTAGTGTAATGAAGGAAGCTAATACAGAAATGCAGAGGCAGGTGTAACATTCCTTCTTTTACTTGCTATTGGTAAAACTGACAGCTGCATTTTTTTGTACAAGCTGTTAATGTCACAATCAGCGCCACTTCCAGGATCTGGTATGGCTCTCTATATTGCTCCACGATTCATCTTTGACTACTATGGTAGTCACTGCACTGCTTATCTGTTGCCAGCCACCTTGTTTTTCTCTAGTTTGTGTTTGTGTGAGAGACTTTACCACTCACCCTTTATTAATACGGCTATGGCTCCAGCGACGACTCACACCCAAGGCCATTTGGAACCCAGGTTATCACCACCACAATGGTTATCATGGGGAACCAGAGCAATGCAGACCATTT